TGGGCGGAGTGCTCGTACATATGCCGCACGTTTGTTCCGTATGTATACAGGATAAAGAGAAAATAAAATTAATATCCAGCAATTATATAGGCATAAGACATATATGACGTTTTTTTTTTAATTATTTGAAAAAATGTTTATTCATATAAGGCCGGGTTTCCACAGTGCAATAAATGACGAATATTTCGTATGTGAAAGTGGGGTACTAAAGAGCATAATCATTAAGGGTAATTCGTTCAAAGAGCTTTTAAAATTTAAAAGCCTTTTAAAAACAAAAGTTTTACGAATGTCTTTAACCCTTGAAGACCAAGGGAAAATAAAATAAAAATAAAAAGTAATGTATTTATATCTATCAAAAGTAGAAATATTTACGACAAATTTAAAAAAATATTTCAAAAAATCAATTACTGAAAATAAAACATTTTTAGAAAGAAAATACAGTTCAAGAAAAAAATTTTTTTTAGATAAAAATTATTATTTGAAAAAAAGTTTTGGAAAAAATTGTTTTCTGAAAGCAACTATCTCATCTATGAAAAAAAAAAAATTGTTTGGATAAATGTATTTCTTAGAAAAAAATATTTTTACTAAAAGCAGAACAAATTACCCAAACAGAATAAAATTTTTTTTGTTGAAAAAAATGGAACATTGTTGAGGAAATTTAAGGGTAAAAAAATTGCTTTTTTCCGTTTCCTTTTTTAAGAAAACTCAACTTTTAAAAGCTACTTGAGAAAACGGCCCTAAGTTATTTAACATTTTTTAAATGAAACACATTTTAGTGAACAGTGGAAATTCGGCATAAGTGTGTATAATATTTTTGAATACTGATTTTTTTACACTTGAAGGATGCGTTAATGTTAATTTGAAGTGTTCAAAGCATTAAAGTTAATATCTATGGAATATCAATAAACCCAATACCACTCACATACATACATTGCAAACCTAACAATGAATAACTACAGTATGTACTCGTTAACTTTGAATATTGCGGTTGCTGTTTGTGTGTTCAACTCAGATTGTATTGCAGCAGCGTTAAACTGCTGTAAAGCCATTTTAAGGCGATATTGAAACAAAATTTAAAGTTTTAAATTTTATATATTTAGTTTTATATTCACCACTAGTTTGTTTAAGCTACGAAACCATAAGTAGACATAAATATAATTTTTTTTTATAACTACTTTTTTGTTTTTAAAATTTCGCCAAAACTCAGTTATAATGAAAGCAAAAATTAAAAAAAAAAAATACATACATATATTTTAAACATTCATTTCATATACTTTTTTTATAGAATAACGATAATGGGCATTCAGTTGATAGTATTGAATTGAGAAAAGTTCACGCCACAGACGAGGTACTTTGTGCAAACGAAAATTCGATACACAAACACAATCGATGCGTTAGTTCAAGTATATGTTTGTTTATGCAATAATCATTACCGAACATTATAATTACTTCATTGTTTATAAATATGTTTCATTATATAAGTATGTTTTTCTCATTTTCGCTACGTTTTTTCACTACAAAAAAAATGTTGAGTTTAATTTTTTTTTTTTCAATTTTCTTATCGTTGTTGTAAAGTGATTAAGGAACGTGCCTATCTGAATTCAAATATCAATAAGGCTGTTTTATTCTATGTTTAATGTATATATACTTCTACGTATGTATGTACATAGCTATACACGCGAACTACTGGAATGGATAGATTAAATAAAATATAGATATACATACATATTTTGTACAAATAATAAGGAACGATTTTTTTCCACAACGCTCACATAGTTTTCTACAAACTAGTCTACTTACTTCTACCGCTAAAAGTCCCCTAAGGCTGTTTGGTTGCCTCTACAAGTGTTTTTTTTTTTTAGTTAAGATTTAGTTTATTATTTATTTTGTATATAAGTTTAGATTCCTAGATTCAGGTGTGTGATTTTCTTATGTTTTAGAGTGTAGAAATTTAACTCAAGGAATAATACATATTTTAAACTTAACGACATATTAATGTTTGCGTATCATTCTAAACGCATTCGAATTTTTGCACAATGGGCATCGCCAGGATCGAACATCTACATTTTAATGTAGTTGATTGATTATTCCTTACTAATACATATGTATGTGTAAACTAAATGATTCCATTTGAAAAGACAATCTTAAGTAATAGCCAAATATAAATTTAGCTTAGTAAGTAGAGTGGAGTACTACTTTCGGTTCAATAGAGCGTTCTTCAAAGTTCAGCGTTCGTGAAAAGTTTTCTGATATAGGACGTTTTCGAACCGAGATAGGTCGATCTTCCACTCAGTGTTGAATTGCCTTTTTTTACTACGAAGATATGTAGGACAGGCGTATGAAAAATAAATAAATCTGAAGTAAATACATATCGACTGCTCAAGAATGCCCTATTTCAGAATTTTATTGAAAAACACTCTATCTCAGAATTTGGTTGAAGAACGCCCTATTTAAGAAATCGATTCAAAAATGCCCCGCCTCCAAAAAAAAAATATTAAAAAAATTGTGTATAAATATTTTTACTACTGGGCAAAGAATTTGGTTTTCAGTTGCCTTTTCTTACCAATTGCACCAATAATTTTAAATTGAAAATGATAGAGTAAGGGAAATAAAGAAGACTATTGATAGAGGCTAGAGAAATGTATAATGCATATTTAATATAATTTTATACCGAAAAACTCTCAGTAGCTCTGCAGCAAACAAATTTTGGAGAAAGTGTTGTTCAAAGCGCAGTTCAAAGGTATTATAATACCAGCCGAATATTTCACGACACTTCCTCTTTGAATGTATTATGACAGCATATTACTATATCCGGGAAGTTTATGTTTGACAGCATAGAAAGAGAAAAATAAAGAGAAAGAGAAAGAGAAAGAGAAAGAGAAAGAGAAAGAGAAAGAGAAAGAGAAAGAGAAAGAGAAAGAGAAAGAGAAAGAGAAAGAGAAAGAGAAAGAGAAAGAGAAAGAGAAAGAGAAAGAGAAAGAGAAAGAGAAAGAAATTAATTAATCCCAACGGTCTTACCTTCTTTTCCTGTCCAACCGACGCAATAAGCGCAGTCCGCATGACGTACGGAACTTGTTTTTTTATTAGGCTTAAAACAAACACAAGGACAAAGGCAACGACAAGCCGAAGTCAAAGTCAAATAAAAAGACGAAGAGAAAGACAAAGCATAATATAAGAAGAAAGCGGTATACATGAATACGCAAGCAAGCACAGATATTGTTAAAGATAAAGAAAAGTATAGAGATATGTAGAGATGAAAATAAAAAGTCAAATGTAAAGAAAAAACTGACGATTAAGATGTTTTATACCACGCCAATCACCTGACTCCATCTCACCCCGCCTCTACTCAACTAACCCCAACTCACTTAACCTCATCGCAATTCACCTGACCTTATCTCACCTCAACTCACCTTAGCTTACATCACCTCATCTCACCTCACCTCTCCTATCTTTATCTCACGTCTTCTCATCTTAACCAATAGTTAATATTGTAGATATGGAGGGTCAGTCGATCGCAAATAATACTTTAACTAAGCTGGTTATTATAAAAAATAAAAATAAGGCTTGTTTAAAAAAAAAAAACGCAGTAAGGAAAATTTCAAGTTTTGAGATGACACAAAGGAAAACTCCGAAACACGTACACTCAATTTTGTGTCGTAGATTACGGCTCTTTAAATATACTGTTATTTTAGATCAGTAAATTTTCACAAGATATTTTCATTATATGTTTGCATTGTGAATGAAAAAAATGCAAACTCTAGTAGGGAAAAAATTTTAAAAATAAAAGTTTTTTTGCAAATTCTCTTGATTTGTGTTAAAGGCTGTTCCTTTACAAAAATATCAATCTCTCAACGAAGAAAATTTATTGCTAGATAAAATTGTAAATGGTCAAATGAAAATGCGTAATTTGCACTTAGATAACAGAACTACATAGTGAATAAATAACTACAGCTTCTAGAGTAGTCAACAAAGAGCATACATACATACATACATATATCACAGATGTTCACCAAACGTATTCTAGTTAAATTAGTGAATAACTGAAGCAAAATATTGTAGTAGTTTGTTTTGCAAAAATCTCTAGTTAATACACTTTTGGCAAACGTTTGCGATATGTACAACAAATTTAGCTAAAAATAACCATCGGATTAGAATTCTAGTCGCCTTCGAAAAAACATTTTCTTGATTTATATTTTTCAAAAATAAATCAATCTAGATATTTTGGTTATATATTTTTAATTCTGTTCTTTCAACTTAGTTTTCACCTCTAAAATGTAACTATTTGCAATTACAATTCGTTTCCTTTATTTTTAAACCATTTTTTTCATTTCTAAAACAAATATTTAGCACTGTCTCAAAGTACTTTGTATGTGTGTGAATTATTAAAAATAAAAATTTAATTAATTGTAAAATATGTAAATAAAAAGGTTTTTGTAAAATCTAAAATATTTTAAATATCCTAATAACTGTTATCACTTGTTATTATTCATTTTTATTTCTACAATTTCATTTTTTCAGATTAATTTATTTATTTTTTCATGTAAATGTAGCATGACAAAATGCAAAAATATTCACTGTACAGCACCAGCAGCAAGTATAGCTTGCGCATTCAATTCAATCTGATGCACAAGTACTTTTTTTTTAATTTTAATTTTTATAATTTTTATGTTTAGGTATGTATGTAAATATAAATATTATTGATTTTATTAAGAATTTCCGTTACTAACTACATATGTCATTTAAAATGTCCTCTAAATGCATATTTTACTTAATTGCCAAACAAATACATTAGTCCCTAAACATCAGATTCACTCGATGTATATAATATATAGAAAATACACCCGGTATCTCTACTCTTACAAATCAACTATAGAAAACACTGAGAACGCTTCAACAACACTAGTGAGAAAAAATGTGTTCGTTTTTATTTACTTTCTTCTGTTAATACTTACATATATATGTATGTATTGTATATTGTAATGTGTAAATGTAAAATAACTGTAAATAATTTTATTCCTTCAAACATCGCCATTTTTTTTTTATAGAGAAAACATTTACAATTTTAATTATACAATTTATTTCTTTTGAAAAACAAATTTAGATTATGACCGCCACAGTGGAGACGGTTTCCGAGCAATTGGATTTAGCTTCCATTTTGCCTGCGGATAGAGCTATAGCACGTTCTATAACGCTCTCCGATGCAGATGTAGGTGAGTTCTAACGCTGTACACAGGCACACAACCAAATTTCATAACGCAAACACAGAGGAGATGCTAAAAAATGATCCTGCAGGGAAAACCAATGGTTGTGACGTAGAATATTCTCAGTACATAATGGTATTAACTAGCAGAAGTACTTGTATCTTTATCGAAACAAATCGAAGTCCAATCGAAATTGTCCAACTATAGTAAGCCTTAAAGATGACATCTCGAAGTACCAAAATTGATTTTTTGATCGATTCAAATCGAACTAAAAATAGTCGATGCAGTAAGAAATTGTCAAAAAATTGCACGCGATGGGATTTCCAATTTTTCGAGTTTTTATGTATTATTAGCCAAAATTTTGTATGCAGTTGTTATTAAAAAGCTTCCCTGAGGATCCCTTTTGTTGGAGGGAAAAGGGAGGTAGGTCATTGAATTCTTTGGTCTACATAGGTAGATCAATATGCGTCAATTGAGGAAAAATCTAATGTGGATTCTTGAATTTTTTCGGATCGATTCACGTATCATTCTAAATTAAAAAGTCGACAAAAATCGAATCGGAAAGGCTAGATTAATCGGCTTTCGCTTTAACCGATTTAAAAACCCCATCTCTAGTAGGCCTACGATGTAACTTCTACCAGTTGTGAAGTAGTCGGCTAGTCGGTTTCTAAAAGCTAAGAGCTACTAAGTATGATGCTTACTGACGGATCCATCGTGCGTTCTAAGGATACGAAGAGGTAGTGACGTTTGATACGCTCCGGCTTCGGCTACCCGACAATTGGTTTGCTGGCGCACAATGTGGAAAATTACGTTTTTTTTATCAAAATCAAAGAACTGATGGCGAAATAAGTGTGACGGTATTTTAAAGCTTTTGTTGGGTAAAACGAAATTCTCTAAACTTTTAAAAGCACCATAAAAAATATAGGGATTTATTTATTAGGGATCTATTTTTGCCCTGAAAAGAGTATAGAATGAATTCTTGAAAAAGTTTCAAACGCACATATTTGCTGTTAATGCGTCAAGGACCCTATTTCCATATTCATGAAAACCGAAATAGTATCTAAATATGTGTGTGTTAAAAAATACACAAAATCCGAAATTTTACTTTTGAAATTTTTAATTTTTTTTTTACCTAAAAACACCACTTAAAAAATGTTTAAATATAATATAATAGAAAAACTATGTACAACTATATTTATTTGTATTTAAAACTTGATTAAGAAATTCACTGGACACAATTTCAAGTTAAAAAATAAAAAAAAATTAAACCTTATACTACTAAAGAAAATTTTAAAGGTCGAGGTAAATTTTTATCCAAAGTTACTGTTTTGCTGGAATTCTGCATCATTTGCTATCTATACTCGTTCTCGATATATTTGATTTTGTTACAAAAATGTTGATTTCGAAAAAAAGTATTATTTTTTCCATTGGCAGAACTTAGTTTTATGATAAAAGAAAAGTTCTGACCAAAATTCATGCAAATCAAAGATAGTCGATTTCAACTATTGGTCGATTCCCGTAAAGCAGTTAGAAACTAAAGTAAAGTGTCAGAACGAATGAGTCGAGTAAGGAAAATAGCTCTTGGTTTACTTTCCATTCCATCTGATTTAATATATTTTTTTTTGATACTTTTTACTTTACCTGCTGGTAGGTAGCGCCAATGTAAGTGTAACCAAGGCATCGGTTATTGGAGAGAATGGCGGTGCAAATGGCAGTACTGGCGGTGGAGTTGGTGAAAATGGCAGCGTATCGGATGATGAGGACGATGAAGAAGATGGCGAAGATTTTTGGCATACATCGGTTGGTAAATTTAAATTTACCTTAGATCAATTGCCACAACCTCTACAGTACATACATCAACTTTTGACGGTAAGTGTTAGTGTTAAAGAAAAATTCGATGACGAAAAGAAAGATTATTAAATATCTATGTTGGATAAATAATGATAACGATAGTCTTTAGATAAAATCGATAATATTAACAGAACCACTTTCGATACAATTTAAGTTAAACCTAACGACCAAAGTATCAATAATTATGTTTATATTTATTGAGAAGACGATGGCGACTTTAGTTTTATGTCAAATCCTACTTTTTGCTTCCAAGGATGTATATTTATTTATTACTAGAGAAGATACAAAATACATATTTTGGCGAAAAAGCATAAAATTGCATAAATATGATTATTTTGGTAATAAGTTAATTAATTTTCACACGGTGATAGCCGTGGTTGCTGACGAGGTTTGTTTAATTGACAAAAAGAAAAAGCTAACCGAAAACGGAAAGTCCCGTTATTTTCTAGTAAATAATTTTAATACACTCGTAAAAAGATTTCCACTGCTGTTTTCCCAATAGTAAAGTTTCGCGCTAAACCAGTTTTGGTGGTTGCATAATTTTTATGAAAATTGTTCGTTTTTAGCGAAATCTGTTTAACAGTTTCCAGGTGTGCTGCGAACAGAGCAGCGAGTTTTATCCTGCATCTATTATAACCAGGGCTGCAAACCACTCCAAAAATCGGTGCGGTTCGGTTCAGTGGTTCGAACCACTTAGAAAAAGCTTGTACCGGTTCACGAACCGGTTCACGAGTATCTCTGAACCACGGTTCGGTTCGGTTCGGTTCAAATCGTTCACTTTCTTTATGCTAAAGGATACAAATGTTACAAAAATATGACAAATCCATAATATGAATATTAAAGGCTTTGTTACTGAGATCAAATTCAAATATCCACATGTATAGTGTAGGGATGGGTAAATTCGATATTCGAAGCTTCGGGACTCGAATTTGAATCGAATTTTAGTTCCAAAATGGCGCATTTTCGAAATCGAACTTTGGGGTGCTAAAATGCTGTCAAAATCGATTTTTTCTAGAAAAAATCGAATTTCGCGTTTATTTTCAAAAAAGCTAAACTAAATTTGGCATAACTATGTGTAGCAAAAAATCGAACTTCAACCCCCCGCTACCCATCCCTAGTATAGTGGTGGAAACATAAATAGGGTCACGACATTTTGTCAAGTTTTGTTATTTTTCTTTTGTTTATTTATGTTTATTTTTTTAACCATATAAGTCCAAGTTTTAATCTTTGTGCAAAAATTACAAATATTCTGCAAAGTTTCATCTAAATTGCAAACATTTTAGTAAGAATTTATAGGAAAAATTTTTAAGTTTTAAGTTGATTTTTAAAAAAAATTTTAATGTTCACAAATTTTTTATAAAAGTATAGCTCGTTATATAATAACAAGTATATAAATCCAAATTTCAAACTTTGTATGAAAATTTGAAAAACTGCAAACTTCAACAACGTTACATCAAAGCTCCACACATTTTAATCAGAACTAAAAAAAATTGAGTTTTTGAAATTTTGTTTTTGCTGGCGTTGTTAAGCATTTTTTTCATATAAGCAAAAAATCAGGCTTTCTTTATATTGACGAAATTACAACTCGCGGAGTTGCCATCACACAAAAAAAAAATTCCAGTTTAACTATACCGGTTGCATTTATGGAAAAATTTGAGTATTACAAAACTTGAAAAACGCTGTAGTGGATTTTCATTTTGAACCGAACCGAACCATTTTTTTGGGATGGTTTTCGGTTCGGTTTTGGCATTTCAAAATAAAAACGGTTCGGTTCGAAGCCCGAGAAAAGTGACGGTTTGGTTCAAAAACCGGTTCGGTTCAAAACCGGTTTGCAGCGCTGATTATAACTGCTCAATATTAGCAACAAAAATATTTTGTGTGCAGCAACACTTCAATAAAATGTTGCACTATTTTCACCTGGAGAATTGTCATCTTTTAAATTCTGTCCAACAAAGACTTGTGACGTAGAGCGTTCAACTTCCATACATACATATACATTAGACTGCATCACTCCCCATACAAAAAAAATCGGTACTAATTTTCCGCTGGAATTATAAAATCTATTATATTTTAAGACGTCAACCAAAATATTTCCGAAAAATATTAAGATCTAAATGAGCTGGGCCGATTTGAAAATACCTCCAAAAATGGAGTGTTTTTTGAATAAAAATAGTTTCTTAAAGATTTTTTTTGAAAAAATCCCCTCAAATGGCAAAACGGTTTAAGCTTAAAATATTTACATAAAAATATTTAAAAAAAAATTTAAAAAAAATTTGCACGGAATCGTAATGATGAGATTTTTGATGCTGTTTTTAACTTTTTTCAAAGATTGGTATAAGAAAAACTTGAATAACTGAACCTAAACTCTTCCGATTTACCATTGAGAGGTATCATTGGGAAAGTATTTTCTCACCCTTTTTATTTCTTTGCTAATAAACTCATTCAAAGGATGGAAGAGAAAGATAGGATGAACGAACGTCATTCAAAGTTGAATTAAGTTGTGTTGGTACTCGAAGAAAAAAGATGGGACACGAATGACGTTTTTTGGCCAGAAATAAAAACAGTGTGAAAATACCTTTCTACTGAGATCCCATAAGTTAAAATCAGAACATTTTTTGCCCAGTTAATCAAGTTTTTCGTAAACCAATCTTTGAAAAAGTAAAAAAAACAGCATCAAAAATCTCATTCTTACGATTCCGTTGAAAAGATTTTTTAATATTTGTATGCAGATTTTTTAAGCTTAATCTAATTTGTCATCTGAAGGGACTTTTTTCAAAAAGTCCTTTAAGAAACTATTTTTATTCATTAAAAACTTCATTTTTGGAGGTATTTTCAAATCGGTCCAGCTCGCTTAAATCTTAATATTTTTCCGAAATATTTCTTGGCGGACGTCTTAGAATATAATAAATTTTGTAATCCCGGCGGAAAAATCGCAACTTTTTTTGGTGATGCAGTCTAATATACATATGCATGTACAAAAACTTTTTATGCGATAATAGAAAAAATTTTCGTTATATACATATTTGGGGCATACATTTATCAAGGATATTTTTAATATTTTAGAGTCATTTTAATGATCATATAATCAAGGTTTTTGTGCATATTTTTGTCTACCCTATTTATTACACATTTATATCTCTGGGATATTATGTAACTAGTTTTGTTTCTAAATATACTTATATATCTTTATACCCAGGAAATTCCTACTATAAAGAAACCGGAAATTCTCTATTATATACTACAATGTCTCAATGTAATGACACTACATGGCGATGCTTTGGCTAAAGCAGCACGCGAGCATCGTGGCTTTTTCATATGGTGCCAAGAAAATTTATTAATTAAAAAGTGAGTACATAAAGAACGCTTTTTATAAGTCACCATATAAGCTTTAAAAGTTAGAAGTACCATTAACGTTTTACCGTTTTTTTACTTCTTTACTTCCCCACTTCTCTTTCTCTTCGCTCACTCGTACCGTGCGTATTCTTCTAAACTTTCCAGCCTCTGGGAACTTTGCAACGCCGAGCATTCGCACATTTGTCAGGCTGGCGTACCACTACTACTCCATTGCATAACCCTACCACTGGGCTCGGATGTATTTTGGCGTGTCGTGCAGGAGGCCTTTCACGACACCGACTGGCGTGTACGATTCACAGCAGTGGAGCGAGTTACCGTAATTACACGTTTCATGGACTCGACCCCATTGCGCACCGAAGTCGGACTGCAGACAGCGCTCGCTACGGCATTCTGTCATCTGATCGCCAGCATGGACGACATCAACGTGTATGTAGCGCAGCGGGCGACGCTCTATATTGGAACCATACATGACATGGCAATTCGGTCACTGCTCTTCTGCTTGGAATCGCAATTCGATTTGTTCATCGTGGATCGTCCGGTAGTTTTACAATCTGTCTATCAGCTACATAATTCGCTATCCGATCGCAGAATTCTCAATTGGGAATTCTTTTTGAATCGTTTCGACACGCTATTTGTAGAGGCGCAAATTAATTTGGAGAAATGCGGCGATATTTCATATCTACGCGATTTACGTAATTCCGAGAATGGCAGTGAGGCACTATCGTCCAAGATATTGAAAGCGCGTGAGGCGCTAAGTCAATCGGATACCAGCGGCAGCATGGCCAAAACGCTTAGTGCTTCATTTGGTACCAAGTGGCCGTACAAGCGTACAATGTCTGCACCTGCGAGCATGATACCACGACAGGATTCCAAATTTGGTGAGGCTTTGACGAACACCCGCCTCCCTTGTAATGTAAAGAATGTATACATTTTTTATTCTAATTTTCGCAGTTCCAGAAAAGGAGAAAATCTACAGTCGACAAATATCAGCGCCTATACTCAAGCGGAAGACATCACGTTTCGGTTTGGGTCAGTTTTTAGGCTCTAGCGGCAACCATGCCAATGTTACTAGTCATAGTTATGCAACCACACAACACCATACTCGCGCCGGTCACGCCCTTTCCCATTCATATGCCCATCCACACTCCTCACAACCAACCGCTTCGTCCAAACAACATTCTTTTGTCTCTGCCAACACGCACCATTGCCCTGTCCACAATCCCACTCAATCCACTACTATAATCACCGCCACTACCACCACATCCGCTCCTCATAGCCACTTCTTCTTCTCCTCCCATTCACCATCCATATCCACCAACACTTTTGCCGCGCATTTTGCGCATTTCACCAGTAGTAGTGCACATCCGCTATCAACATCCCAACCACAATCAGTAGCTACAATCTCAACGTTAGCCTCCTCCGCATCTCATAGTCAGAGTCATCAGTATTTAGTGCATTGCGTAGCGCCTACACCTAGTCAAACGTTTACAGCACACAGTCCAATGCCGACGTTGCGTGAAGCTGAGCCGCCGCAATCGAGTGCGCAAATGTTGTCAACACAAAAATCGTCACTACCACCACACCAGCCGCATCACGCCTCCTTTCATTCACACTTCCAGAAACATCCCTCCGCACCTAATCTCTTGCCGCCGCCATCTGTTACAGCGGTGCCTAGTCCCAGTCTCACGGCTTCAGTCAATCCGCTGCTCCATTGCACGTGTGACACTGGTGGCGGCGCTACAGGTGCCAGTGGTATTGGTGGTGGTGGAAGTGGTGTTGGTGGTAGTGGCTTCGGTGGTGGCGGCGGCACCGCCACTAATGCGCCTACATCGGCACACCAAGGTAGGTTGTAGTGCATGCCCACAACTCCCTTCCTCTCCCCCTCTCCCAGAAAAAAAACCGCTCCAAAGCAACTGTGTGTCAATAATATGATTGTGTTTCCTTCAGTAATTGGCATTGTTTTTGTTCGTCTTCATTTTGAATGGAAATGTTTTTTATTGGTTTCGCAGTTTGATTCCTAATACAAATACTATATGTATATGTCGTTCATAAAACTAGATAGCTCTGCTCCTAAATGTGTAAAGTGTTTAGTACAGTATTGGACGGAAATAGCATTTATCCGGCGCACGGCTCTCGAAAGCTTGAAAGACTGCCCGAGGGTAAGGCCACCCTTCACCGCCATAGATCCGAAAGTTATACTCTACGAGAATAAGTTGAAATTACAATCGGGTACGGCAGTAACGATCAGAAGAAGCTTTTGCTCTGTGCGGGCTTTAAAAAGCTTTCCACCCAGGCTACTGATTGAACTATAGAATAAATCTATCGATCCATTTGGTTGCTCGAAAAGTCGCTTGCGATTTCAGAAGAGAGCGAAAATCTTTTTAATAAGATCTAGATTAAGAATAGTATATTTTTGTTAAGTCGTTAGGATAAAACGTCTGGCAGTACAGTTCTCTCTACAATTATTATCTGTTCAGGATCAAGCGTTAAGTACCCAAACAAAGTCAAAGTCATGCGTAGTAGTGAAACTAAAGACTTTCTTACCCGTACCCGTGGGTTATATTAGCAAATACGTATATTTGTGTAGATTGGTAAGGTATTTAGTATTAAAAACTTGCATAAATATGTACACATGCATGTACGTATATATTTAAAACAGTGTCGATCAGAGACAGCTTTTACTATTTGCGCGTCCATATAGAATCTATGGAAAGCTCATAACAGATTTAAATTAGGTCTTTTGAACGATACAAGCAATATACATAAGCTTATAGAAATATAGAATTGGCCATCGGGTTACTTTTAAGTCATTTTTTTAAAGTAGCAACAGCTAGAGAGAGCTTTTACTCTTCAAACGTCTAGATGTGTAGAAAGCTTAGGCACTGCCGATTACCGCTTGAAAACAGAGAGAGCTTTTATTTTGTGCCAGCCGCAAAGGTACATGTAAATCAGCGCCGACCATACTCTTTTGCGACTGTATAAAATATTTACCAAGACTGAAAAGCTTTTCCACGGGATGTGAACTAGTCGTGCTTGCATTAAAGATACTTTCAGGCATTTAAACCAGCGATGGGCAGCGAAAGCTTTTACTCTGCATGCATCACAAAATGCTTAGAAAGCCTAAACGAGATTTGTGAGTGGCAAGGCGGTGCACATCGCCGATTTAAACCAGCCACGACCAAGTCCGATCCCGCCGGAGAAACCACAGAGTGAAAGCTCTATCTTTCTCTCGCTCTCTCTGATGATCACTGATTTAAAGTTTGTTGAGAGAACTTTTAAAAAAGTAATGTTGAGTAAAGAAGGCCGGAATGCGGGCGGAACTCTTCAAAGCTCTCAGCTTTATACGGACGCGCACAGAGTAAAAGCTTTCTCTGAGCATCACTGGTCTACGTGAAAATTATCCATAAAGTTAAATCAGTCATGCTCAGAGAGAGATTTTACTCTGTGCGCATTCATATCAAATCTACCATCACTGAACTACTTAAATAGACAGCCGATTTTTCTCTAAAAAAATCGTTACAAGGAACTGGACGGAAGTATTACAGCATTTAAAAAAGAAAACACCGGATGGCCCATTCTACAAATATACATACTTATATGTACTAACATGACATGCTTCCTTAATCGCTGTTTGCTTTTGTCCTTCTCCTTCTCTCTCCTTCTTTCTCTCTGTCCTTATCTCTTCCATTCCCTCTTTGAGAATAGCATTTTTATGTCTGTGTGCACATTTCTGTGTTACTTCTCTCTAATTGCATGTTACTCGAAATAGAGCATACTGGAAAGTTGTATGAAGCATTGTAAATCGCAGACCTTCGTCAAACATACATACATAGGTCGGACAGATAATAGAGAAAGTATTATCTTATTCGTAAAGAGAACCGCAATAGCCTTCGGTATTAATGCGCACAATGAACTGGAGTTCCCTGTCGAATTCGTATAAATCCCACCAAAGGTGTGGAAAGTCCTGCTCGAAAAACAGATTTAACAATGTCTTCTATAGAAGGCACTTGTATAGCATTTTGCGCACGCTGCTCGCACAGTCCCAATGGCCGAGTGAGCAAAGCACAGGTGTGTGCCATCCAAAAGATGCAAGGTTTAAGTCCTCGGATGAAGGAATATTTTTTTTATTCATTTTTTTTTTCAGTTTTTTAATTTTGTTTTAAAAAGAAAAATATTACTTTTTTAATTTCGTTTAATATTTAAAAACTTATTTTTTTTTAATTTTTAGATTCTGTTTTTGATAAATTTTTTTTCTTTCTTTAATTTAATTTTATATTCATTTTGAATTTTGTTTTAAAAAGAAATATATTTTTTAAATTCAATTTTATTTTTAAGAACATGATTTTTTCATCTATTTTAATTTAATATTTTTTAATATAATTATCGTTAAATATTTAGTTTATATGATTTAAAAAAAAAAAATTAAGGAGCTTGTATAATTTTTTTCTTTTTTATCATTAATTTATCTTTTTTAATTCATTCTATTTTTTCCTTTTTTAATTTAATTTCCAGATACTATTGTTGTAAAAAGAAGCATAAGGTTTAGAATCATGTTATTTTCAAAACTTATGTTATTAATTTTTTCCCCTTTCTTTATTTAATTTTTTTTTCATTTTTATTGTTTTTAGTTTTAAAAAGATTTTTTTTATTTTACTTTAATTTTAAGGCACTTCTTTTAGTTTTCTCCTTTTTTTATTTAATTTTTTTAACTTCTACTACTTCTTGTTTTATAACTTTATTTATTCATTCTTTTATTTAATTTAAAATTCTTTTCATTTTCAGTTTTTATTGTTTTAAAAAGAAAATTATGTATATTTTTTAATTTCATTTAAATATTAGAAAAGTTATTACTAAATGGTAAACAGAAAAACTCTACAACCCCCTCGTTCCTACGGATGTCGGGAAATAGCGATACATGGATAATATCGATATTTTGCTTCGACACATAGAAAATTTTTTTTTGTGGAGGGGGTAGTGGTTTTGGGGGTTAAACTACGTGTAAGTCAGTGGCGGACCCACGGGGGTGTTTTAATATATAGGCGCCATATTATACACCATATTAACCATATGCGCCATATTAAAACACCCC